AGAGAGAGAGAGAGAGAGAGAGAGAGAGAGAGAGAGAGAGAGAGAGGAGCTATACAAGATTGGTTGTGCGGTTCAAGGAAAAAGGTGGCCGCCGAGCTCGGACACGGGGAGGAAGACGAAGGAGGAGACTAGGAGTGAGAAGAAGATCAAGCGAGGAAGAAAGATAGTGGAGAAGAAAGAAGAGACGAGGAAGGAGAGAGAAGCCATAGCCGGGGTGAAAAGAAGAAAAAAGGAAGGAGAGAGAAGGAGGGAAGCGAAGGTTGGTGGGAGAGAAAGGGTCAGCGGCCATAGCCAAGTTGAGCGTTGACCGAGGCGTTGACCAGAGAGTTGACCGGTGGTGACCAAGGTGTTGACCAAGGTGTTGACCGAGGTGTTGACCGAGGTGTTGACCGAGGTGTTGACCGACATTGACCAGCGTTGACCGGAGCTGTTGACCACAAATTTGATCAAGCTAGAGTTGGTATAATCTCGCCAAGCCTTCAACCTATTCCCTTGCCCTATGGATGTGCACTCACCCCATGGTACTTGTTGAGTCTGTTTGTTTCTTCTTTCTGCATTGAGTCTCTTCTGTCCAGGTGATAGGAACTTCGTGTATGAGGTCGTAGAGTTGTGTTGACCAAACCCACACGGGCTGAGTAGGGTTGTTGTCCATGTCTGACGACTGACACATCCCGGAGGACTAACCCTCCCAAGGACCGGTACAGACCGGCGGGCTGCTCAGTGTGGCATGGTTGGCCCAAAATCCGAGTTGTGGGTTGCACAACCAGCTGTTTAAGTCTTGAGAGGACTTGCTGATCACGTCGTCCTGTCTGCAGCGTTAAAGAATTCATGAGGAGTTATGGGGGATCTCCTTAAATGCCTCCTGATTAGTAGTAAAGTCCTGTGTTGACAACTTTAGTAGTAGGTCTAGGCTAGAGACCATAGTTGACAGGGTCCTAAAGGGATTTTGTGGTCCTTAGAGAATCAGTTAGTTAGTCAGTCAGTCATTGGGTAGGTCTAAGTGGTGAGGAGTGGGATAGTCTCTTGTCGTGCACCTATCACCATGGATGACTACCCGATGTACGGCTTACCCGTGGGGTTCTCCCTCTGGGGGACCCTTTTGCATCTCCTGTTTCATTTAGTTTTCTGGCACACGTTCTTGTGTAGAGTCCAGACGAGGGGTGGTACCGGCACCACTCCTTACACGAAGGAGCAGGAGGAGGAGACCGCAAAGATTCTGGCCGAGCAGAAGGCCAAGAAAAAGAAGAGAGAGTTGGTGAAGCGGGCCAAACAGTTGGCCTTACAGGAGGAGCAGGTGGCAAAGAAGAAACATTTGGAGGAAGAATTGGAAAAGTTGAAGGAGGAAGAAGAAATGTCGAAGGCGGTGGAAGAAGAAGAAGAAGAAGAAGAGTTAGAAGAAGAAGTCCCCTTAGTAAAAAAAGTTGCAAGAGAAAGAGGGGAGTCAAGTGGCACGAAGGAGGACCCATGGTTCGAGAAGGTCTCAAAGTGGGTCGTTAATCTGTCCCTGGGCAAAGAAAAAGAAGCGATGCTATATGTTTCCAGGGCAGAACAGGAGGCGGTAGTAAGGGAGCTGAAAGCATAAGAAGACCCCCTATGCCGCCAGACAATTCAAGAAGAAAAGAAGTTGAAGTGGAAATTGTGACTCACTGGAGAAAAGAAACAACGAATGGAGACGGTGGATAAAGTGGCGAAAGAGTTGAGTGTGGCGAGAGAGAAGAGAACGCGGATGGAGGCACAGTCAGACTTGCAGGGGAAATGAAAGTCATGGCTAAAAATATAGAACTTCTGGCGAAGGCTCAAGAAGAACAGTTCCAGTTTGCAAGGGGCCAGGATGTAGCTTTGTGGTCTATTCAATTGGGCTTTACAGAATTCACACGTTGTAGGGCCAAACCCCAGTAGATTTTCGAGCCTTAGTCGACCCCACTGCGGGTCCCATTGGCTCGGCCCGCCCACGCTCATGCTCAGGGCGCAGGTCGTTCATCCCGAGGTCACCCCCACCTAGTGCTTTGAGATGGATGGGGGTGGGCCATCGCGCGAGAGGGCTTTGACATTGGGGATGTAGCTCAACCCTCACGCCGGGTGGTAGTCTCGCTGGTCGTTCAGTAGCGCTGAATTTTTTCGATTCTTAGTTGTGTTCTCAAGTAATTGCTCCTTCCAATACGCAGGCAGTCCAGGGGTTCTTTGAGAGTTTTCTTCTTTTGTGCGCAGGCTAAGCGTCATCCTTAGGCTGCGCACCGTTTCCCTAAACCTTGTGTTCCTACGGCGTCATCGGGGTGCGGCGAAGCCGTCCTCCCCCTCGCCTCTAGGCACCCCTTGGGTCTCATAATTCACACTCAACTTATTGAAGCAGGCCCCTTAGTCTTTTCGGGGCCTTTACATGCATGCACTCATGACTTCGCATTTCCCTTGGCAAGATTGCACGCCCTTCCCTCATTCGCACTCCAAATCTCAAGCGCAAAGGTCATTCCCCTGGGTTGGCTTTATGCTAAGG